AAACGTACTTTTCTGAAATGACATGCCGACTTTTTCGCTAATTTGACTCTACGCCCATGATTATGCAAATTAATACAGCAGTAATAGGTTTTTTTAGAAGTAACACTGAAAATTTTACATGTGTGATGTTAATTGAATTGGTTTTTATTTGCTAATATCGCTTATGCTCTTATACCTTTTTGCGTAATGTGTAATTTAGGCTTAATTCAATAGAATTCCATACATTATATACTATAATGTGTATTAAAAATTTTTATGTGTTTCTTTTAATTTCTGAAATTTTTTTTATTTATAATCTATGAATAACTCAATCTACTTGAATAATTTAGTATTAAAAAATAGAAAATATTCGGCATGTCATTTTAGAGTGTCTCCAATTTTATGTCAATGTATTGTCCGTTATGTAGTAAGTCGCTGAAGGTATATATAAACCTAATAATATTTCCCAAGTAAGTGAGGCTATCGAGCTATGAAAAATGAAGTTGAATTTTGTTGAATTAGAATCCATGATTCCAACATCAAGCGGTTCCAGAATGTTAGCAGGCATATATGTCCATTCCGATATGTCTAGCTACAGAACCATTTATGATGACAAAAAACATACGACCACATAATCTACTGTAGATGTATTTATGAGATAAAGCTCAAAACATCGCCCAGACGAGCTCGATTAATCTCAGCTTTCAAAATCTAGAGATGTAGAAGTTGCTACAGAACAACATTTCTCTTCATAATCATCTAATTCTAGTCCGATTCTACCATTATTGAAAAGCTGTAATGCGACATTTTTTGATTTCAAAGTGTTATTTCAGTACTTTTTTAATGTTTTACATATATAGTATCTCTTTTCAGCTTATATCGATGGAAATATTATTACGAGATATTTCATTTTAAAAATAGCATACTTATACGTGCATAAAATAATAATGCTTTAATGGGAAACGATGGATTAAAAATATCGCTCTGGGATTTATTTCTAAAACTCTCACATATGCTTCATATGATCCTAATGTTACAGCATGCGTTCATAAAAGTCCATTACCACTGTTCTTTTTTCTTGACCATGACACAATGACAAAAATTGGGCTCCTACCCCCCCCCCTCTCCAAAACTGGATGCCATATTTTCAAGCATTCCAGACATAGCTTACTATCTATAGGCTCATTTGATATTCAAATTGGTCAAAAATTGGGATCGCAAGGCTTTATTTCCTTATATATTAATTCCACACGTGTACTTATTGTTGCTAAATATTTAAAGTAAGGCAGAGAATTTTTTTAAATAGTTTCAGTTTTGGAGATGGAAAGGTTCTGTAAATATGAGACATAAATTTTTATATGATTCCTAAAAGTGAAAGAAATGATTAAAATATCCAATATGCTTCCAAGAACTGAAAGCAAATCTTCAGCACTTTTACGTATGTAAAATTCCCAGAAATGTACATAATTTATATTTTCAAGAGGCTAATTATAAATTGAATAACAAATTCTTCATATATATATGAAATAGTAATAGCCAGAAAGAGCAACTTTTTTTCTAAACTTGATCCTTAAATTTGGTTGGAAAATCGTACATTTTGATTATTAAAAAATCTTGAAAAAGTGATCTGTAAATTCGTTCTAGGGAATGTGGAAAAGAGCTGAAAAGTCCAAGATATAGAACTGTTGTTCATAAAAACTTCTCGAACTTTATTTATTGCTTATTTTTATCACGCAACCGTAACTGCTTTCTAAGCTTAATATTTGCATTATTACTATCTTTTTCTAGTTAATGAATGGAGGCTACTGCTTTATTATTATCTGCTTGGTGCTTTTGGTTAATTATGACTTTCTTCATAGGGGTATTAATGATCTATATACGCTATCCAAAGTTGTTTTTATTAAATCCTTCGTCTCAGGGTTTCATAAACAGTATCTTGGAATAATTAAAAACTATTAATTAATTAATTAGCAATATAATAAATCAATTTGTTTGTTATAATATTCGATTCTAGGTTAAATTCATAGGACAAGTACCTGATACGTTTACCTCAGCGAAAACAACTCCATCTAAAAGGTGGCAACCATCTTCAAAAACCAAAATGGCATCCACTTTTAATGACAACCTTAGAAACAGTGCATAGACTTCCAATCGTATTCGCTATCTATTTAAGGAGGCATTTTTTATAGGTAAAATCTGATGGATGTCGATGAAAGTCTACATTACCATGCAAATTAAAGATCCAAGGCTATAATTTACAGGAAGCGATTTCAAACACTTCCAAATTTGCACCTAGATTATCCTACGATCGACATCTTGGCTAGCGCTGTCTGTACTCTTTATTTATTTATTTATATCTGTACATATTTTTGTTGGACATTCCATGCGATTTATCTTAATGGAGTTCTTTTTCCTATCCTCATTCTAGATACTGTTCTGCTCAATAGATCTTGAGGTAAAGTATGTAATATCTGGCTATGCGGAAAGGGTGTTATGATTAATATTGTGATTACTGTTTTTTGCGTCCAAACCAACTCTGTCTTATGAATTGAAAATTGTCGGGTTGTACAGGCAAAATAATAAAGAAAGAAAATGAAATAACTTAGATAGTTTTAATTTTGTATGTACCTCGAACATATCTGAGATGCATTTGCATATTTTTTAGTTATCATCTAATGTTAAGTGTATTGTGCATTTGTATATATGAACTCAATGTAAATCAGATTCTTTTCGCAGATTTGAGCCATCGAAAGAACAGACTCACTACAAAGGCTGTTCACACATTTTTTAGACGATTGTCATTGTATTTACAAGAATATTTTACCTAAACCTTTTTTAAGTTTTAATCGTTCCATTTGATAACCCCTATTCTTCATTATCTTTGACACCGAAATAATGACAATAATTGAGTAATTTCCAAGACAATAATGCGCTTTGTAGTACCAGAAAAGGTATTTTATCACATTCCTTTTGAACAGCTTTCCAAAGTTTTCCAAATCTGAAATGTTTCAAATGTCCAAAGATTTTGAGCATCAAATATAATATGTATATAATGACAAAACAATTTTCTTAAAAACAAAATATAATCATGCCTATTACTTTTTGTGAGTTTTAATTAAGTCTTTTTACTAAAGTTTTATAATTTCACTTACGTGTAAAGGTAAAATTTTGATTTGAATTTATCACTGAAATATTTTATTATTTCACTTACGCTTTCAGTTCCTTAAATAGAATACTCTTTATTTAAGGTACAGGTTTCTAATTAGAATTTTCTTTGTTTTTCCTTGCTTTGGGGAGGGCTAGAATTTTCGGGTGAACTATTATGATTAAAATACATTGAAATGGTTCATCGGTTAATTCTGGATAAAGAAAAGCAAGAATTTTTCTGGAAGAGAGATTTCGATTGATTTCAGGGTTCCTCCTCCTGACGAAGTGACATTGAGGCTGATTGAATTCCTCTTCTATATAGTTCGCTTTTCTTTAAATTTCATTGAATTTGTGAATTGGGGTATTGCTGATTTGAAAAGTTTTGTTTTAAACATTTTTAAAATTCTTTATTGCATTTATAGGATTATTTGAAATTTATTACTTAAGAATTTCTATTTTTGGTCTTTGTGAAAAATTAGTTCTAAATTTTTTACTATATATATATACATATATACGTTTGTTGTAAGGAGGGTTGTAGGTCGAAGTTTGGACAATCCACTTTTTAAAACTTCAGAGGCACAAAAATCTATGGGTGAAATACCAGAAGATTTAGTAGGGATGTGAGTGAATGATATGGCCTTGATACCCGTTCCTTAATCCCTTTTTTACAGATAATTAACAGCGGATTTTGAGGTATGGCTGCTTGCTTTGTCTTGATGCAGTTCTACTAACTGATGGCACTGTGGGTAAAAAGAAGGTATTTCATATTTGAAAGTTGGATATAAAATTTGTTCCTGATAATATGTACAGTTGATATTAACATACTTTTTCACTCCTTTTATTTTTAATTTGACGTAATATGAAAAAAAGCAGCAATCATAAATCTCTTTGAGAAACTTTCTTTAGATTCTTTGAACCATGTTTTATAACTTTTTTTCCTCCTCTTTGTTAATAATAAAGGGATTTCTTTTAACTGCAATAATTTAAATCATCTATTGGGACAATATCAAGTGAGAAATAGAACTTTTGGCTCGAGTCTTGCAGCTTTATTTTTCTATCGCTCAGCTCTGCCAGTTAATATTCTGGCATTAGCCATTTGCTAGTCAACATAAAATCGCGCCATTAAAGTTCAGTTAGGCCAAACTTGTGTAGTCTCGGGCTACAATCTCATTTTAATTCAATTCAGTTTTGATTCGATTCCTTTTCAATTCGATCCCTTTTTAACTGTAAATTCAACTTTGTTATTTTTAATCCCCGCAAATGATAGAGTTTAGAGTGTACGCACAAGCTGTGATTTCTGTTCAATTCAATCTTAAATAAAAAAAAGGTTTATTTAAGATTGAATTCATAAGTCTTTTTTGTACATTTTGAGTCTGAAGGATTTCACGTAAATATTACACAAATGTGCAAATAAAATTTAGAGTGTAAATTGTGTAACTGTTTTGATGTCCAAAGGACGCCATCAAAAAAAGGGCCTGTCATTTATCTAAAGATGCTTTTTTGTTCTTTTTTTTCAGTCAAATAAGAAAACACAAAAAACAGGAAATAAAACTGAAATTGTCCGAGTTTTACAAACTTTCTTTAGCTTTAAAGGAAAATCAAATAGAAAAAAGGAATTATGATATTTGTTTTTTCCAGTTAATTTATTTGGTAGTATTCTTATATCTTCTGAGTAACCTTATTTAAAATATAAAGCTTGTTTGCCTAATAGCATCCAAAAATTGGTTTTTTTTTTCCAAAATTTTTGATGTGATGTATTCCTTTAAATAATAGTCACTGTCAAAACTAAACCAACATTCATTAGCATTAGAAATTTCGGGTTTATTATTAAAAAACTGTTCTTTAACAAGAGAAGACAAGAAAGGCTCTTTGCAAAATATTTTTATTAAAACATACAAATTTATACCTAAATCTATATATAAATTACACAAAATTTCATATATACATTTCTTTTGTACGTATTACAATGTAAATTAGCGATACTGTTTCATATGAAGATATTGCATTTCTTTAATTTACCTGTAAAGAAAAAATAAGCATTAAAAATGTGCACATATTAAAGTCATTTATCAGACAGCATATGCAGTTTTGAATTTGCATATAAAATTATAAAGTCGAGCAACACTGATCCAAAATCCTAAAACCGAAATGTTTGAAACGGACAAAGATTTTGAGCAGCAAATATAATATATATATATATATTTGTGTAAAACAAAAAGCATGTAATCCAAAAAACTACCTTTAATTTTCAATAGTATCTCAGTTCTCTATTTTAAATTAGATAATTCTTCTTTCTATTCTAAAAATAGTTATTGTTTATAATAAATCTCCTTAAACTGCAACATTTCAGAATTTATCTCACGTCATATGAATCTTGTGTAACGCTAGTCATGCAGATAATTTGCAAACTGAAAATCAAACAACAAATATCAAAACTTTTAACAGATAATAGAAATATTTGAAAAACATAATTTTTTTCCTTCTGTCCCAAGCTTTCATTTAGAATGTGTTATGTTTTCGCTCTAACTTCTGTCCTGCTTGGTGACACTTGCTGATTAAAACGCATTTCGAAATTTTATAGCTGTCGATGTAGTTGAGAAAATGTGCACGCTGCGTCCATTTTGTATATGTATGCTGGTTAAAATGCTTCCCTAACGACAAATTAAAGGAATTATTTAAGTTGGCCATTACTAAGAGCTTCTTCTTTATGCATTTATTACACCATCAACATTTCTAAAACATTTCATATATATACTAGCCGCTACGCGGTCAGTCTTAGTCTGGCTTTTAAATGTACCGGAAAATTGCCTAACACCAAACATTAAATTTAAAAACTACACAGAATTTTACTCTGCAGAAGAACTTTATAAAAAAAAACTTAATAAAAGTGTATACCATGTTAAAAATCACAATCAAATAAGCAATCAAACAAGTAAACATGCTTAAACGTAATGTTGTTGTTCAATACATAGCATTATCATTAGCAAAGTTTTAATGTAACAGTGTTTATGGAACAATGAAATATTTCTTTTTTGTACTCTTAGTTATTCATTTATTCATTAATTTTTTGTTCTCGCATGTTAAAATTCCGCTTAGTGAAGAAAATGAAAGGGAGAAAATTAGGTGTTTGTCTCTTTACCATTATATGTAAATCACATATAAGTTAATATGAAGTTCTGCTTTTTGCAGAGGAGAATTTAAAGAAAACTTACCTGAAAATATTTTGACGCTATAATTTTCCTGATTCCATTTGACTAGAATTTCAAGATGAATTACTCCCTGTTTTTCGTTTTTTACAATTCTTCCATCTTTCGCTTCAGTAGCTGAACTTCCTTTACGAAATCTGAAAGGAAAAATAGAATGGTATATTTTAATCAGCTTGTCTCAAGTCTTCATATTCTCAAACCCTCAGAACTCGTATGCGAAAATATTTTTACCTTGGCTTATCGCTAATACGAACACCAATTTCTTTTTATTGGTTGAAAACAAAATTTACCTGCCTTAAATGTATCCAGATCTTTTATATCTTTAAACAATTTTCATATAATGTTTTATTCTTTGAAATGGTTACCATACAACAAGAAAAAGGAATTTGGAATTTGTTTTACTATATATTTCATATTTTGTAAACCTTTAACGAGTTTTTGATTAACAAATTCAACGATTTCAAAGCAAGTAATGGCAACACTGTATGGAAAAAAAGAAATATTTTTATCTCCAGCGCACGAGACTGTTGGCTTAAGTGCGAAGAACGTGATATTTAATAAATAAAGGTAACACACAAAACGTTCAAAAACACCCCTTTGGGCATAACAAAATCTGAAAGCTTAATTTTTTTTTAATTTAATTTAATTCTCTCCCTATCGCATCTTAACAAACAATATGGACGCAGCAAAAATCGTCACATAAGTACCATCGCATCTTGCAACGTCCTTGTACTAAAAAAGACCTTTACGGCCCATGATTAAAAAAAAAATTATTTGCCCACTCCTACTTTAACCTCCTCTAGTTGCCCAAGACTGATTTTCTTTTAATCCGTCAAGTTTAACAAAGATGTATCAGTAATGGTTTCGTCTTCGTAACACAAATTATGTCTTCAATAACTCTGGCTTTCACATTTTAAATCCTTCATTGATGGTGTAGTTTTAATAGCTAGTAGTATATACCAATATCTGGGTGCTTGACATTTATAGTGCACTGCATTTAGTGTAACAAATCATAAAATCCTGGTAATTCAATAATATATTTTCAGCGATGGTATACAAGCTTTTAAAATTATATTAATAAGATAGGGTTAATTCCAGTTTCACACTTCGGGTTGTTTGGCGGAGCTATTAAAAAGCGATAAATCTAAAATATGGTAACCTTCCCATAATAACGTAAAAGAAAAAGTGAACTACGTTTCAAATTCTGGGCCGTGGCCAATGATTTACGATCTGCAAACCATAATCACGCACACACAGTCAAGGACGGATGGACATTAGGACGGTCTTTCCGGTTAGAACCGAGGGAACATCTCTGTAATTAAATGCATTATCGTAGCTCGTGGAGGAAAGGGGTATGCAACTTGCCATGAAATTCCATTCACTGAGTTGGAACTGAATAATGAATTGGAGACTTAATCGAAATTCAGTATCTTAGATCAGAACATCGTGTTTCAGTTTCGAAGTCTAATGGCTCGGGGTTAAAAGAACACAGAAAGAAAAGTAAATAACTGCATATTTCGTTACAGTTTATCCATACACACACATATATATATATATATAGGTACACTTTGCCACATATTTATCATTTATACACCATGTATTACGTGTTTGAATATGTCTATATACATGTTTATATAAAACCAAATAATTGCATTCTGAGGAATGACATAGTATATGGTCTTAGAAACGTCTTTTGTTTATAACAAATAATCAATACTGTAAACATCATAAATTTATTTTTATTTATATCAATCAATGAGATATTTTACTTAAAAATAAACAAGGATTTAAATTATTAAGAAATGCTTTTACTGTATTAAGTCCTTCCTGCTAGGCAATTACGCTTTGTTTAAATTTAAAAGATGAATTTAAGATCATAAGCTCTGTTGAATATTAGCAGTCTGCAGAATGGATATTGATGAAGCCCCATAGAAGGTAAATTAAAGATCTTACATTTCAAATGATAGCAACACTTCCTAAGTCGCACTGATGATGAATGCAGAGTACTGTAACATAATCTAAAATTTTAGAAAGACTTCCGTAAAGAAGTTTCTAACATCAGGATGTGATAACTGCTTTCGCCAATAAAAGGAGAGAACGTATTTAGAATTAATTAATTAATTAATAAAATCAGTTTGAAATCTAATTTTTCAGATTATACATAAACACCAGAAATCTACGTTACGACTCTGTGTGGAACATCCAGTCCAAAACTGATATTGATTTTTTAAATATAAATTGATATAATATATAGTTTTTGATATAATTTAATGTAATACATATTTTTAAAACAATTTAATAAATTATAATATAATTTTATAATATTTTATTATACTAATATTTATAGTTTTATATATATATGTATAATAGGGACACTAAAATTCCTGTTTATTGATATAATACCTCTCGAATGATCAATTAAAGATCCTGAAGTAAAACAGGAAAAAATAATTGCAAAAGTCTTGAACGATAAACCTGCATCCAGTGATCTGCCACAGTTAATAATCCAGCGCGCATGTCTCCGATATAGCAACCTCATGATGAGCACGTTCTTTTAGCAGTATTTAGGAAGCATTTTGGTAGCTGCTTCGCACCATATATAGTGTAATGTTATGAAGCAAGAAGAGGAAATATTGATGATGCTGTGATGAACAACTCTGAAATACTGAACAAACTGAACTACAAAATTCAAAATGTTCCTTCGAAACAATCCAGTAATCACGTTTGCTGAAGACTAAATCATTGATCGGTTTGAAACTGACGAAGCTGAGCCAAATATGAAAAGCTGCTTTAGTTCAGAATAAGTAATTGAAAATAAGGAAGAAAATTGACCTAACGTTGTTTGGCATAAGATTGCCGAAACTTTAAATACATTTGTACAATCTGATATACAGCATTGGCAAAGAATGCACGCTGATATTCTCTGTAATGTTTTCTTGAAAATAAAAGCTAAGTCCATGAAATAGGGGATATTGTAAAACCATTTTGTCATATTTTACCGATATAATTATGCGAGATATATTATTTTTACTATTAGTTATTTTAATTTGTTAGCCTTTTCTGTCCTTTCCGGTTTTCCTAGCTTTGTCTCGCCGGGATGTAAATCAGTTATGATGATCCAGAGTATATTTAAACTGAAGTAGCGAAAACGTTAGCCAGCGCGTGTTTTCGCTATTGAGTGTGCACGTTGTTACTTCTACTAACAGTTCGATTTTGAATCTCGGCTTCGCATTCTTGCCGCCAATCGTATCAAATCGTAGTTAGTATCAAATCGGTGTAGGTTTCTGAGTTAACCTGCTAGATTAAATTGACTTGGGTAGCCTTGAACTTCTAGTTTATCTCGTAAATTTAGTTTATTACCATTATCTTTACGTTTCTCATCACAAGTATCTGGTGAAATTGTAATAATTGTAATCAATAAAAGGGTCTTTTACACCTTTTTCCTGTTGCATTCATGTTCTAGTTTGAACGATCTACACAAACTGTTAAGTAGGTTTAGTAGCAGTGTGTGTTAGCAAAAAAGACTAGATCTTACAATGCCATAATCCGACATATTTGATAAACTGGAGTTACCAAAATCCCAAGCATGCAGAATTATCGGATTACAATTATTACTATTTATTAATACTACTTAATAACTATTTAATAAGGGGTCACCTGCAGAAAACTTCTTATTTATAACTATCATTTTACTTGTGTTGATACTACCTTCTATTCTGAAAAACGTAGTTTTCTTATAAAAAAGATAGCACCTTCTTTCAAATGTAATAATTACGAAATGATTTTAAAATTGTTCACACAGCGCAACAGAATGTTTTTGAACATTTGAAAAACTATTGAAAGGTTAAAATTTTTGAACTCGTAGTAAACTTGTATCAAATGTTTTATTAATGATGTTGAATTTATGTTAATATTTAATGTTAAATTACTTTGAAATGAAGTTATTTGCTATTTAGAATTATAATTAAGGTCTTATATAATTTGCTCTTCGTCGACATAGATGTTAAGAACGAAAGTTGCTTTGTTCACCTAGAAAATGACTTCCAAGAAACAGAGCGAGAAAGGAAGGCAAACTAAATAAAAGGAAGAAAGAAAAGAAGCTGTCGCTAGCTTATGCTAAATAAAATATTTCCTTTTTCTTTAAAATTATAAAATATACATGATTTATCAATGTCGTATGCTAATCGTATGTATAAAACAATAGCCTTAATAGCATTGCAGTAACAATGAGATTATTAAGTTAAAATGTACTGTTCTAAATGCTGGTTATGAAGTATTTTCACTTATTATTTCTTAAATAGTATTTATACCGCAAATATAATTAAAACTATATTTCTAAACAAGGATCTTAAATCATTAAAAATTGTACAATGCGGAAAAACCTTAAACGCCAAATAGAGCTAAAAGCAGTTAAAAATTGCATTTTTGCAATTAAAATTAGAGTTTTTACGGGAAAACAATCAATTCGGCCAACGATCAAGAAGACAAAATTTTCGGTGCAAAAACATTTCAAGTCAACTTTCGGTCCCACTGGGCAGAAAGATACTGAAGTTGCTAACTTAATTCATTTCACGATTTGTACCCTTGTAGAAAACATTAATTTATGGATCAATTCCTCACTCTACTAATTCTTCAGGTTGCCATCTTTAATAGTTTAAGAAATGCCTCTATATATCATCTAGACAACGCATATACAGAAACTAACACACAAATCTGTGTATATGATTTACTGCTTTCTCATCAGTTATTCTCAACTTAATTACTGTGTTTCTACCCGTGTGGGTAGACAATTAATTTTAGCACGAAAATCGTCACGCCCAGTTTGGAATCATAATTCTCCTTGCCAGCAGCATAAAACAAAAAGGAATTTTTTGAGGTGGACATACGCCACATTTTCATTTTTACCAACATTAAAGAAAAACATCAGTGTCTATCGAAGATACTCTCGACAATTATGCAATTATGCATTCATCCTATTAATTTCTTTATGTTGCGAAACATGGAACTGTAATTAAGGCATTATAATTTAATCACAGTGGAATGTAATTAAGACTTTTAAACGTAGTGTTTTGTATGTTTAAAATGGAGAAGATGGCATTCCATTGACGATGTCACACATCAGAAGATTAATCAAATG